ACACAACTATGTGCTTCAACAAGTCAAAGATTATCCACTTTGAACTGGTGCAGGTGAGAACTTTATTTGGTGCAGCTGTTTTTAGAGTAGTTTTTAGAGAGGTGACCTTAATTGTATCTCAAACCTTTTTCCCGATAAACTAGGCGGTGACAGCCAAGCAGGTCCCACTGCCATAGAAGCTCTAACTGACCTCCTTAGGGACTTTAACCTTATTGATATCTTTCGTTCAATGCAACCATCTGCCCGCAAGTTTACCTGGACTAATTCAAAAGTTTCATCCAGACTAGATAAGTGTTATGTTTCTTCTGAGATTTTAAATAATACCAAACACTGTGAGATAACAGTATTTCCCTTTTCCGATCATGATGCCCTTTTGCTGTCCTTCAAATTACCAGACTCGTCAGCTCGAGGCAGATGGACCTGGAAATTCAACACAAGCCTCCTCAAAAATGAATAATTTACATGTCATATGAAGCATTTTTAGAAATTTTGGGTTTCTCGCAAAAAGGACTTAACAAGCAAAATACATAAGAAAAAGAAAATAAGAAAAATTTAGGCAAAAAGTTTTCAAAACGCATAGCTAAAGAAAAGGGAGAAAAACCCACCACTTTAGAAGAAAGCTGCAACAGGCAACAATTTCTCCTGATCAAAAGGAAAAAGAAACAGTTCCCCTGATCAGACAAGAAATTCAAGAACTTGATCTTAATAATATTAATGATGCACGTATCAGAGCAAAAGCCCTTGAATACCAATCCAATGAGAAATCGTCACGCTATTCTTTCAGCCTTGAGAACTCCATCAATCTAGAAAAGTCATTCGTCAGTTAAAAAAACCAGATGGTAGATAGTAGATGGGAAGAAATTGGCGAAGCCTTAGTGGAAGTACTAGACTTTTGTTTTAATAGAAGCCTTCTCACTGAATCTATGCGTTTAGCTATAATCTCCCTCTTATACAAAAAAGGAGACATTGAACTCCTCAAAAACTGAAGACCAATTTCTCTACTTAATGTTGATTACAAAATTCGCTCCAAAGCCTTTGCAAATAGACTGCAACTGATCCTTCCATCCATTTTAGATAGCGACCAAACCTGCTCTGTACCACGCAGGTCTATTTTGAAAATCTCATGTTAGCAAGAAACTCTTATTGATTACTGCCAAGAGAAAAAACTCCCCCTTGCATTAATTAAAATTGACCAAGAAAAAGCTTTTGACCGTGTCAACTGGGACTCTCTTCTAAAAGTCTTGGAAAGAATGAATTTTGGCCCAAAATTCATGCGTTTCGTGAAAACCATGCATACCAATGTTTCTTGCCAAACTAGCAACAACGGCCCACCTTTCTAGGAAAGTAACCCTTAAACGTGCGGTAAGACAAGGCTGCCCATTGTCCCCGCTATTATATTGCATTGTAGCGGAGACCCTGGGAAACCTCATCCGTCAGAATCTCAAAATTGACGGCCTCCACCTTCCAGGTTCACAAAAAGAAGTCAAAATTTCCAAATATGCAGATGACACCACCCTATCTCTAAGAAATAATTTTTCCTTCAAAGAAGCCATAGCCATTATGAAATTGTACGAATTAGGTTCCGGATCAAAGGTGAATTATGATATGGGCAAGTCCTGCGGAAAGTGGTTCAACAAGCCCCCATATATTTCCGCCTCTCCGTCTTCCCTTTAAAATGGACCGACAGTGCTCTTGAAATACTAGATCTCGAATTTGGCACTCAAACAGCCCTTGAAAGCTGTTGGATAAAACGGGTCGAATAATTGACAAACAGGCTTGGAGCCTGGAAACACTGATCCCTCTCTTTAAAAGGTAAAGCCCTGATTGTAAACACAATTGCTCTTTCTGGCCTCGTCTTTGTAGGAACAATCCACCATCTCCCTACTGCTGTAGAAAAACAAGTTAACTGAGCTATTTTCCGATTTATCTGGGGTGGCAAAAATGAGCTGGTCAGCAGAAAGACAATGTTTCAACCCCCCAGGTGGTCAAGGTGTAGTTGACATACACCTGAAAACAAACGCCCTACACCTGAAGTTTCTTCAGTCAATTATGTATATCAACTATGACTCCCCTTGGGTTTATTTTGCCCGCTACAATATCGGTTTTCAACTTTTCAAGTACTTTCCAACTGCAAAATTTCTCCGTTCCAATTTGTTTCCTCATGCTTCATGACCATCTCCACATTACACTTGTCTTCTTTCTTTGTGTAATTTGTATAAAGTTGTTGTTGTTTTGTTAAGTGCCGCGAGCACACCTGTAAGTAGTATTAATGGCAGCATTCTCGCCTTGGTCTACCCCGACATATTGCCGGCCCTGGCATGGAATGCTGCCCTTGCGAAGCCACAACATTGGCAAATCCCATGGGAGCATGTTCGCTCCCAACCCTCCCAAGACCCTGAAAACAATGTCGTATGTAAAATTTATCATCGGGTCCTGAAAACAGCAAGTTACTTAAAAAGTTGGGGTCTGATTCGAATCGAAGACATTACTCATGCCAAATTGCAATTGCAGTCTTCGTGTCCGTGCAGCCGATTTTCGAACAGCTGCTCGGCACATTTTCTGTGCTCCCCTCCCTAGTCATATTCTTTGAATTTCCGAATGGCATCAACTGGAATGCCAAAACTCTCTGCCGTTGCCTACTAAAAGTCACTCTGCATTCCATATGGATGCACAGATGTGATCGCAGGTTTGAAAAGAAGGCCCCCAACCCTCTAGGCGTTGTTTCTTCTATAAAGGCCACTATTAGAAACAGAATTAAGTTTACTTTGTCCTCTCCTTCCCTATTTGCTAAAGAATTCCCCATATGGGCTCATAACGATGTCCTCTGCAGCTACCAAAATGGTACGCTCTCACTCAAGATTTAATAATTTACTTATCCTCTATATCGTAGCAACCTCTTCTACTTGTCTAACTCTTCATTTTATTATCGTAAACAAAAACATGAACATTATCGGCCTGAAATTCACTACTGTTGTCTCTGTAACTTCCATTAAACGAGTAGCGTTATATTGTCAGTATATCGCAATGTTTGATTTGCCAGTTAATTGTATCATTGTCGATAATTTTTTACTTTAACCAAATGTCTGTAAATTGTATCGTATCCCCCAACTCTTTTTGTATTTTGTCAAGTAATCAGTATATTGTGAAGTAAAATTTTGTAGCCAAGGGGGACCTCTGCACAAAAGGGGCAGTTGTCTCCCTTTATATTGTCACCTTTTCTATAAATGATCATGATTGTTATGCCCTGTCCCTACTGTGTCATCAGAGGGCAGGAATTTAAAAAAAAAGTATCTGTTCTTATCAGCTTAATAGCTGATATGCACCCAAGGGCGCTCAAATATTAAACTGATTTTTGGAACCAGCTTGTCGGCATGAGGCTTGCCTCACCGCGAGCACGGGTTGCCCTGGCATTGCAGTACAGCCATGGGTGGCCCAGCCTCTTTTCATCAATTGGCAAGAAAACAATGATTTTCACATTTTCACAGTTGCAATCATTCAAGTCCATATTGTTGATATGACTGGCTAACTACAATGTTAACTAGGAGCTAGCTAACATTGTATGTAGTTGGTTGCTTTTCCATAGTTTAAGTAGTTTAAACCTTGTACTAGACTGTTTTATTTATGATTGTTAATCAAATATACACAGACTGCGAAGCCTTCAACGTGTTGTGTTTTTGTGTTCTTCTGTTCTTGCTTTTTTGCTTGCCTGTTTAGTAGTCAGTCATTTCTAGCTACCCCTCTTTATGTGCTCAAAAATTCAAAGCTTATTTTCAACTTCAGACAACTGCTGGCTGACTCACAACTTATCAAGCAAGATGCAAGGTTTTTCTTCACAAAAGGAATGGTGAGTACATCAGTTTTATATTTCAGTATATTTCAGTATATTCCAGTACTTGATGATGTTCCCCATCATACTGAACATTCACTCAATATTCAACATATTGATCTATTCAGAGACTACTGACACAGCCTTCCCACATATGTCGGCTTGTTTCTGCAGCCTCTGAGTTGTCAATAGCCAAAATGGTAGTTCATACTTACCTGACGGGGAAGACAATGTGATCAAGAAGGCGTAGCGGCCGGTCACGCTTTTTCGAGCTCCTCGTGCTATCAGCGGTTTTTACTGTTTCTAGCATCTTGCGGTTCTTAATTTATATATTAACTAAGCTTTAAAGCCTTTAGTACTCATTACGAACTCTTTCTAGTGGAAATTGCTTCCAATGTACCATTTATTTGGGGAGATATTGATGAACCAAAGATGAGACCTACATCATTCGCTGAGAAGTTGAAACAAGGAAATGCCAAAATGACCGCAAGTGATTTAGCAGCCAGAGCAGCAAAATTTGAAACGAGTGCAGATATCAACTTCAAGGAAATTATTGGATACTTCCACGAATTTTTTAACAATCCAAACTGCATACAACAGCTGATGCCCCTTGCTGCCCTCCCAGGAAGGCGAAAATGGAATATCATTTTTTCAAAACCACCAATGGTGGATAAAGTACTCGACTCGCTAGTTAAGTTTCCATCCTTGGCCGCTGACGATCCTGGTATCTCTTTCACTCCTATACGTAGAAGAGCGCTGTTGATCACAATTCCTGATGCATCGCCAGATGTCTCCGACAACGAAATTGGAAATGCCTTGTCAAGACATGGAACTGTAACCCGTGTATGGAAACAAACATGGGAAGGATTCCCGAATATTTTTAATGGAAAAAGGCTTGTTACAATCTTCCCTTCTGGAGGTACTGAGTTGCCTCCATTTATAATTATTCGAAACAAGAAATTTCTCTTTCATACCGGGGCAAGCCTGTGTTCTGTAATATTTGCATGTCAGATACTCACAGAACATCAGATTGCCCCTCTCGGAACGTCAGTCACTGCTATCTTTGTGGCTCCACAGAGCATAACAAGAAAGATTGTCAAAAATTCGTCCCTCCTTCGGGCCCGGGGTAGGAGATATAGCGGAGAAATTGAGCCAGAGTAAAGTTGAACTGAGTTCAACTTTCCCGATCATTACAACTGTCCCGATCCTTCCCGATCCACAAAAAAATTAATAGAAATATTCATCGCAGACAGTCTGCGATCATCGCAGACGTTCCCTTGTTCAATTTTGCTCACGTGAGCCAGATAAGCCAATTAGAAAGATAACCTCTGCTTCCGGATGAAGCCAAAATTGAAAATGGCGAATGGCGGTGCATCCATGGCAGAAGAACAAGAAATCAATAATGAAATGCTTATGAATTGTGTGCAACATTACCAAGTGATATACGACAAGAGCTGCAAGGACTTCAAGATTCCGTTGAAAAAAAAGAAATGCATGGAAGGAGATAAGCCAGAAATTAGGAATTGATATTGCAGAAGCCCAAAAAAGATACAACAACATTCGAACGACATTTTCAAAGTATGCCAAACGTTTAAAATGTGTCAGATCAGGCTCAGGTCGCAGCGATGTACCAGAGTTAAGAAGTGATATGGAATATTTACGGTGGCTGATGAATCATATTAAGCACAGACCAAGCACAACAAACTTCAAGCGGAGAACAAATGACGTTATCAATGTCATGTCTGAGATCACAGAAGACTCTGCCGATGATGATGAAAAAGAAACAACAAAGACTAATGATGAATTTCTAAACACAATGCATAGCATGCAAAAAGCAATGACTGATACAGCATCTCCAGAGCAAGAATCATTTGATGATGACAAACATTTTTGTTCAAGTCTCCTTGGTCCAATGAGATCTTTAGAGCCAAGATATAAATCAATGGCAAAGCTTCAAATAATGAATGTTTTTAATGACATTGAATGGCACAAAGATTCACAACAGAAAGCTCATTACCAACAGGTACCTGGTGCTGGTAATATTAATTATCAAATGAATGAAGCAAGCATGTCTCAACAATATTACAGGCCCCGTAAACAGCCACAAAACTTCAACGTGAAAACTAATGCCCCAGGAAGTTATTCACAAGAAATGCAAATGCAAGAAAACAGGCAAAATGAATATCCAACCACATCATTAACTATTCTATAAGAACATAAACTCATACAACAATTCAGCAATATTTGAGATGATCAACAATTTTGACTTACTCGCACACTTTTATTTCAATAAACTGTTGCTGTTAAAGTGTTAAATACATTCTGTGAAGTTTTAGATTTTTCATCCAATAACAAATTTCTATTTTGCAGTTAGTTCTCAGAAAATATGAATTTTTCTTCATTTCTATAATCTCAGAAAAAATATAATTTCTTATTTCCAACAGCTTTTAAAAACCTCCCAGTAGTCACAGTTACAGTTTAACTACTGAATAATTAAAAAAAATTACTTGACTTTCTTGTGAATTTCAGAAATGCAAATGTTTAATCAGAATACTCAATAATGCAAATAATGAAAGAAAACAAACTTTTTGAACTGGATGTATAGTTTTTACTAAAATTTAAATTGTTGGATCAATGAAATACAGTAAAAACCCACATATAAAAACCCAGATTTTTGAATTCAGCTGGTGCTGGTTCTTAGTGATAAAGCATTTTAGCAACACCTCAAGGGATTGGTGGATTAAAGTTTGCATGAATGTGCCTTCCCATGTTTTTGGGAATCAATGTTGTGTTGAATTAGAGTATTGAATTAAAGCTTTATATGTTTCCATCAAGAAATAGTGAAATTTCAGGCTGCAGGTTTGTAAAAATGGATGGTTCTTATATGCAGATTCTGTATATATAATAGATCTCTGTATATATAATTGTTACAGTGTGATGACATATTTAGTAGTTAACAGTTTGTGGAAGTTGAAGGCAGTGTTGCTCCAGTACTGGTAACATGTTTTACTTGCCAGGAAACAGAACCAGATACACTGTTAAAATAGGTCATGAAATTTTCTCTCATAGCTTTTGCATCAGCCTTATAATTATTGCTCCCTGCTCTGCCAATGTTTTTTAAGGCAGAAGTTTCATCTGAAGTTTTACATCTCCAACTGCTAGGAATTATTTCCCCCGTCTCATCTTCAGCATCAACAAATCCAGCTGGCACATAAAAGGCATTATCAGTCTGCAATAAGTAATTATGAAGGCAGACACATGCTTTCATTATTCCTTCCACTGTAGTAGTACTGGCACGTATTGGCCTTCGAAAAATCCTCCACCTTGCAGCCAATATTCCAAAAGCATTTTCAATTGTCTGTCTGCATCTGGAGAGCCGGTAATTGTAAATCAGTTTCTCCTCACTAAGAATCTTGCCAGAGTATGGTTTCATCAACCGTTCTTTTAATGGAAAGATTTCATCAGAAATGATGACATAAGGAAGAGTATTACCATTAACAACTGCTGGATCTGGAATATCTATGATTCTGTTTTCAAATGCAATCCCCATCTCAGATTGATTGAAAATTGATGCATCATTATCCCCCACATAGCTGCCTATGTCCACAAGGGTGAAGCCGTAATTAGCATCACACATTGCCATTAGCACCAAGTTATGAAACCCCTTGTAATTATAATAACTGGACCCTCTATTTTTAGGGCATTCCATAGCCACATGTTTGCCGTCTAATGCCCCCAAACAATGTCGGAAGTTCCACTGTGATTCAAAATCATCTGCAATCTTTTTCCATTCCTCTTTTGACTCTGGTGCACTCAAATATGTGTCACTGAGTGCATTCCAAATTCCACAGCAAGTATCTCTTATGATATTGCTAATAGTTGCCCTTCCCACTCTAAAATTGAATGCTTGTGACTGCTGCGAGTCACCTGTTGCTAAATACCTGAGAGTGATAACTATTCTTTCTGCTACTGGTATTGGTACTCGGCTATTGCATTTTTTCTTTGCTATTAATGGGCCGACAAGCTGGATAAGATGTTCCAATCTTTCTGGTGACATTCTCAGCCATCTATAGTAGAAAAGACATTGAAAATTTTATTGTCATATAAATAAT